TAACAGTTATTGTACATGTAACTTGTTATTGATATAAAACCAGTTTTATGAAACAGCGACCGGATGCTATTCAAAGTACACCTGAATGATGCTAGCTATTAAACTCCAGCTTCATTTTAGAGTAAAATCAGGGATCTATTATTAGTCTAATCTAAGTATAAACATCGGTTTAGCTGAACTACAGTTAAAAAAAAAAAACCCTAATGTCTAAATTATTCACACATACTGTACATGTACATGTAGGGCATCGCAGTCAATGATTTTGCCTAGATTTTCAACATTGACGGCCTTGTATAATATAGATTCAGACAGCTGAAAATATCAGCCTACATGTCGTTGTATGCTTGCTACTTCTACTTTTTATTAGAAAAACGTGGAGGTTCCATGATCATATGGTGCATTCAAAGAATGAGGTACAAACATGGACCTACTACTGTATGTATGTCATTGGTATAAACCCCATCAGAGCATTTACATCTTTTAGCAAGATGTTAATCCCTGCAAACAGGGGGTCGTTTCACATAAACCATTATATATTAGATGTACAAGATCAAGGACATCATGACGATGTCACTCCACTTGCCCACAGTGTTTCACAAAAGTTTCTTCTCCAAGAGGAGTGGCAACTACAGTCATATCATCTTAGAACATCATCTCAAATCAACTTTATGTTAATGTATGGGCAATTGAAAAATGAAACTATCAAAATAATTCCTTAAAGTTATTTCTTGTTCTCAGTCTCACAGTTGTTTGAACTGACACTTCTTAATATTGGTGTTGATATAAAAGCACAAGGCAAGCATACCAATTACCAACCTGGTCTTATAATGTGTTAATTCCTTAACGAGTAAATCCATACATCGCCCTACCAAAGTAAAGTCACTGAAGATGAAACAGTCTGTTTATTTATTACAGACCCATGAGCTAATTTCTCTAGATATTTTCCATTTTCAAGCATAACCCTGATACAAATCATGTCACACAATTATTTGATTGAAAATGTTTACAAACTGTGAGTAATGACAAAATAGTTTTCAATAATTTTTTAAATAAAAACAAATAAGCCTCATAATCTCTTTTGGTAATTCAGGATAAAATCTAATGGATCATGAAGAAAACTACTTGTACATTTTGTGGCCTATAGAGTATAATATCAAAATCATGCATTTCTCACCAATATAGTGTACAGGCTGTATCTTATTTTTTGTGAAACGGGTTGTATTGTATTCATGACTGACATGAGTTTAATTTATAAAAATGTGCACTTTGCAACAGCTTATTTGGGGCCATTGTGCACATTACAAAATACTGTCTTGAAATAACAAAGAGTTGTAAAAAAAAAACTATAAAAAAAAGCCCAAGTCCACTCCAATTTAAAAAATTATAGCATGTTATAAATATTATTATATACCTCACTTAAGAAATCCAGCCATCTGATTGGTCGAATTGCATTCATAAACTTCAACTGTTCCTGTAAAATTCCCGGTAACCATGCATAAAACATTTCAATATTTTTAATAACCATGGTTATTAAAAAAATAGGTCAGTCTCCATGGTTACCCCATAGGTTTACATGTTAAAAAATGGTTTGAGCGATGGAGGATACCATACGTGTGCGAAAAATTGGTCGGCAATTTCAATACAATTGAATCTCGATCGATCTTACCGACAATTTTATCTTGCATTGTTGACATGAAGACGAAAATTAACTCTCAAAAACAAAAAAACAACATCTGCCGATAGATCTTGATCTAAGTTCGTGCCAATATGCATTGCAAAAGTAAAAGAAGGGTCCGTTTCATGGAGCTTTTGCGAAGCATCCCTCACGCGGAGCCGTTTTCAATCCATTTTAATGTATATATTGGAGAAAACTGCCAAGCATGTTAACGTCGCGCGATAGCCGAGTGGTCTAAGCGTTGGTTTTTCGATACATCTCTTGTTGTACGCAAGAGTTCGAATCCCGTCTTCGACAAAAATGTAAATCATTTTTTATTTTTTATTTTTTAGTCTATTTTTTTTTGGCATATAAAAGTATTAATGACTGCTTTAATATTCGAGAAATAGTTGTTTTCATACGCTTTCGGGAAGGTTAGAATTGGGCTATTCCCCTCGGCAAGCCTCGGGGAATAGCACAATTCTAACCTTCCCTTGAGCGTAATAAAACAACTATTTCTCTCAAAGCAGTCATTAATACTATACTATCAAAGGCGTACATGTACTTCAATCAGGTGATATTTATGAGTGACTTTTGTTTCGGTTATTTTGAGCAAAACATTTAAATTGCTTCATGGATATGACGTACACTGTATGCTCCTCACAACGAAAGTGCCAGCAGTATACATTCTGACAATAGGCTATTTTCATAATGTACTGTACATGTAACCAAATTTAATGCATACGTCTTTGTGAAGTGCCTCGATACAAACTATTTCATTCACCTGATAACTAGTGATAAGAATAATAGTATTTCAATAACCAATAGAATCCTAACTGCTAACTCCCAACATTAGTTGTTGCCAGGAAGGACAAACATTATGGCTTGCCCTACCTAGCAACACAGTTTGCAATTTGACTGTTGAAATACTGTTATTCTTATCAGGTGATTGAAATAGTTTGTATCGAGGCACTTCACAAAGACGCATGCATTAAATTTGGTTACATTACAAATCTGTGTTGTGATTTGCGAGGACCTACAGTGTACGTCACAAAAAATGCATTGTGGGGGAGAACCGGCTCGACCATTTACTTGTTTTTTTTATCATTAAACAAAATAATTAAAAATAAGTTTGAGCACCATTTTCCAAGACCAAGTTACAAGCTGTATATTTGGGCTTTTTAGATGTTGTTTATCTAATCAGCTCAACTATTCAGTGGAGTGGACTTGTATAACAACGATGCATCGACTTATCATTCTCTAAATCTGGTGTTGCAAAAACAATTCTGCTCCTCACGAGTTCAGTCATACCATAATAATATGTACTATATAATTCTGCTCTTTCATCATACACAACTATGCACCTCATGAGTTCAGTGGTACTCGACTTCCAGCTTCACCTTTAAAGATGAAGTTGAGTTCTGGTCATGCGATTGCATTGTGAAAGAAACGGTGTCGAACCGACCAGAAAAGGTTGATCATCTAGCATATATAAGAATTTGTGTGTATTGCAAGGTTCTGGAATCATCAAAATGATAAGAAATTTGGCCAAGTCTTGGTAAAGTTACAAACACTTGCACAGAAAGATGTATATGGGACTACACGAATATGTGGCGTAAAAAGCCGCCCCCCCCCCCCCCCCCCGATTTTTACGATGTTACAAGCATATTTAGAATATGAAGGCATTTGAAGAGCCATGCTTTTCAGGGAACATGTCTTAAAGATAAACTTGAGTTCTGGTAATGCGATTGCATTGTGAAAGAAAAGGTGTGGAATGGATCAGAAAAGTTGATCATATGTAATTAAAGTAATGGTGTGTAATGCAAGGTTCTGGAGTCATCAAAATCATCATAAATTTGGCAGAGTCTTGGTAAAGTAACAATCACTTACACAGAAAGCTGTACATGGGACAACACACATGTTGTCGGGGCTGGTACTACTGATTTCCTTACCTTTCTATGCTCATTACTCAGCCAGTATACATTTTCTTCCAAAATTGTTTGGCACATGACATTTATTTGTAATCTTGAACATTCAGTGTAAGTTTCGTTAGATTCTTTAAGAATTCATTTTCTTTTTTTACCAGAACTCAAGATTATCTTTAACTGATGTTCTTCCACAATTGCATGATAAGATTGAGTAATGCTCACAAATTATTTTCCACCTCTTCCCAGAACTCAACCTTCTCTTTAACTTATCATCATGATCATAGAGTCTCTGCCGGTGTAAACAGCCTCATAGTCATAGATCTATAATCTACATTTTTGTAAATGGAATGCTGCAACAGACACACTTCTTGGAATATCTGCTTTTCATATATCATAATGATCATAATGCCTAGTCTATGCCGCTATGTGGAACGTGGACTCCATCTTCGACTTTGGAGAAAGAGATCGGCGCTAGTGTAGTTCCGTATCCATTTTTTATAGCAGTTTCATATGCATTCTTAGCAAAGGAATTTTAGCTCAACTTTTTACTAATTTTAATGATAATCATATACTGCATTTTCCACCTGAATTTGGATCAAATCCAACATCAGGAAACCTCCTTTTATTTAGGGCTTCGATGTCGACGTCGTCACTCAGTACCGTCTCCGCGCTATAGCTTTGCAACTCAAACTGAAGTTATCAGTATCAGTCTAAAATTATGCAAGCTTCTCGTATAGTTTATGGTATCGTGCATGTGCGTAATACCATAAAGCATACGCGAAGTTTGCATAATTTTAGACTGATAGCTTCAGTTTGAGGTGCAGAGCTATAGCGCGGAGACGGTACTGAGTGACGACGTCGACATCGAAGCCCTAAATAAAAGGAGGTTTCCTGATGTTGGATTTGATCCAAATTCAGGTGGAAAATGCAGTATATGATTATCATTAAAATTAGTAAAAAGTTGGGATAAAATTCCTTTGCTAAGAATCGATATTAAACTGCTAAAAAAAACTGCTTAAAAAAATGGATACGGAACTACACTAGCGCCAAAAGATCTACATTTCTAGGTCTAACAACTTTAATAGAACTTCATAGTTTGAAGATACCACATTAGTAATCAACAACATAGTCATTAAGGAGAATGTGTGTAATAGATCACACAGAGCTAGCCAGCAGGCACGAGACCACACACAAACAACAGTTCACTGTGCCACAACCATACCCCACACTGATGCTTATTCTCATCATACACATCAAATTATCAGCTGTCGATCTAGCCCATTCATCTACACACAGTTTACATGCTTGCTTGGCCGTGTGCGCTGGCGTACAAACAAGCTATCACAGGGCTCGCCTCGCTGCGCTGAAACAAACAACTCGTTATCCATCTCAAATATCGGGCTATTTCTGCAACTCACCTAATAACTATGTAGTCCAATTATGATACATTCACGGGAATTTAGAGTATATGTACACCTTCTCTGAATGTAATCCTGACGACTACCAGAAGACGATAAAAAGAAGATGAAGATGCGATATATCAACCTTCTCAGACCTTTTACCGTCGGGAGGCCATTAGCTAAATCTCGGTAAAACGTAAATAACAAGTCAGAAATTCTATAGCGCCACCAGACATCGTATTCACGTTAGGGTGTATTTTACATGAACGATCCGACGAGCTTACGTGAGCTTTTATGCTTGAGTAATTCTTCGCATAATAACATCAATTATTGGGATGAAAATCTATTGTCGAGTGCGGGAGTTTGATTTAGTTGTTGAGATCGAATTTTGTTTTCCTCTTTCGTTTTGCAGCACCGCAACGTCTTATTCAACTGTGTATGAGTCGAGTGGATCATCCAAACGGGTATCCAATTAGCAAGAGGGCTGCTGCAACTGCAAGGGAAAATGCCATACATTTTCAAAATCCAACACGTAGGACAACTGCAAGGGCCACTTTTTAAAAAAAATCCCTAAAAATGGGTCTCATTTTTAACAAAATATCACTAAACATGGGTCCGTTTTTTGAAAATTTCTAAAATGAGCCTTACTTAGAGAAAAATCCCCCAAATGATCCTTAAAAATGGGTAGGCTTTAGCGGCACACCCCCGTCCAAACCACAAATCTTAGTACCCCCCCCCCCCCCCCCCCCCCGGGCATGGGGCTTTTCCCGAACTTGTCAACTTTAGGTGTTTTTATTAGTGATGGATCTATGTAGGCCTATACTTTTGAATCGGGAACAGAAGGTTTTACAAAAATAAAGATACCAGGCTACCAGCTAGAGGACACCGCGGCACCGACGGGCAGGCAACGCCGGAAGCAGTTTGGGATTGGGGGGGGGGGGGGCGAACCTTCCAGGGGCAGTGACGTAATGAGAAACAACGTTCGGAAGGAGGAGGGGGGCAGACGTAAAATATGCCAAAATATATCACCACCAGTCTTACACGTTACATGCAGGTCCTGCGGAACGTTTTTCAAAGTGTAGTATTAACGATCAGGAAAGGCGTAAATTGGCGTGGGGTCCAGGGCGTGAGCCCCCGGAAGCTCAGGGGTTTTAGGTATTTCGTTACTGTTAGATGACCATCCAGTGGCCCTCTTTAAGCCATTGACGTGTTCCAGGAGGGGGGGGGGAGTCCCCAGAATTCAGAGGTTTAAGTATTTAACTACGGTCAGATGAGCATCCAGGGGCCGCCTTAGGGCCTTTAGTGGGGTCCAGGGGGCAGAACCCCGGAAGCTCGTTTTTTTTTTTAGGTATTTAATTACAGTCAGATGAGCATTTTTTATACCTTATTTGTGACATTGGCAGGTCACTTATTTTTTCTCTCCGTCTCTTTCTTTTTCTCTTTAACATACATTTTCAAAAAGTAAGGGGGGGGGGAGCTCGAGCCCAGCCACTTTGCAGACCATGATATAAAGGCTTCTAAATAAGCGTATTTTTAGCCCGACTGCGCATTTGGGAATTTCTTATTTTCCAACAAACGCATTAAGAGGGACTTACAAACAAGTGGAGAAAAAATACCGAAAAATCATGTTATAACAGCAACATTTGCAAATCACTGGTATCGAATAAGAAATACACCCTCCCCCCCCCCCCTCATCAGTATGCCAGCGTTCAGGGGCTCATGTCTTCTCACCCCTATAACAAAAAAAAACAGACACGCTTTTCCATTTTCGCACAATATGTCAACGATATGCGCGTCTCGCTACTATAAAGACCTCCATTGATAAATACCGTATAGGTGGCATGCGCAATGTTTATGAAATTTAATTCCTGTGAACTTTCTTTCTTTGAATTTAATTGTATATGTGATTTAATTCAGGTTTTTATTATTGTTATGTTCTTTTGGGTTAAAAATACAAACCATGTTTACTCCTTTACTGCTTTTTTTTTTTTTTTTTTTTGAGGGGGGGGGGGGGGAGGCAAAAATGTGTTTTGGCCCCCCCCCCCCCCCCACTTCCGGAGCCTATGGGGACGGGAGACTGATAGCTCTTCATCTCACTATGACAGAAGCAGCATCAAATTGCGGGGCCTATATTAGGCTTCGTGATCGTTGGGCAACATAGATACCTTCATTAATCATTATACGGTCATATATTCATAGATTTATATGAATAATGAAAACGATATAGAAATAAAACATGGGCCTAACAACTGATAAGCCCACAGGCATACGCCACCCCCCCCCCCCCCAGTCGTCGCCTCACACTAAGTGATTTTATTGAACTCATCATGAATAACATTTATAAACAAACTTTCATTTTATTTTTCATTAAAGGTAATACACAGTTTTGATATGGGGACATGAATTTGGTTCAAATGAACATATTGAAAGCATATTCGATCCTACAATATCCAGTGATCGTTGTCGTGGTCGAAATCGAGTCTAAAGTTATGAAATTGTAAATAATAAACACTTTATGTTGAATAGCTCCCTCTCAAGGTCAAGATATTAATTAAGCTATAAAACAATGTTTATTGACTAAAATTGTCTCAGATTCTAAAAAAATTCTGGATTTAGCTCATGCTGAAATGATAATTATAAACCTTGAGGTCGGTCAGGGACCCCATGACTATTACAAGCCGATTGCCTGTCTGATTATCAAGATATTTATGATTGGAATTACACATTTTGAAAACCGTTTGCCAGACGGTTTTCATAACACTACAGTCTATTGAGAAAAACGAGTATGGTAAAACCGGTCACTCAATTTTTTAAAACTTTTTTGAGGCACTCCTCAATCATTTTGAAGCGCAATTTTTTTAGGACTTCAATATTACACCTTATCACAGACACTGATAACAAGTAAGGCCGTGTATCTCAGATTTAACATTGGTAAACGATCCCTTTAACGTATTTGGAACATGTTATAATTATATAAATAATTGATAATCAGCTGATACATACATATACTTTTCGTGAATATAGTAATACATAAATGTCAACATACAGTGTGTAGGTTAGGTGTAGGGAATTGGTGACCGTAGGGAATAGGGGTAGAGGCCATTTTTGTTTTGGTCTCAAAATTTGAAAATTTGGCCGATCGATATTTTGTTTCGTTGGGAAGGGGGGGGGGGGGGGTAAGGTCAGCTTTTTATGGGTCACCCATTACCATAATTTTTTTAATTTTGTTATTATTATTATTATTTTTTTATTTATAAAAAAAGGGGGAGGGGTTCCTCCAAAACACACACATACAAAAAGTCAAAAGGGGGAGGGGTGAACCCCCCCCCCCTGCTTACGCGCCTGTCGTCGACAAATTTGACGCCCGGTAATTTGGAAACCGCCCTGGTTTATTGACCACTAATTATCTGGTTATTTTACTCCACAATATGGTAAAAAGAGCAGGAGCTTATCCACTGTTGTTTGTACCGACTTCACCAAAGTTTTCGACAGGCTGGGTCATAACATTTTTATTAGAAAATTGATCAAACTCAATGCACGGCCATGCATCATTGAATGGATTATTAGTTTTTTGGAACACCGTCAACAGTGCAGGGGCGGCGATTTCTTTTCATAACCGGGGGGGGGGGGGCGAAATGCGAGGGACGAGGGAGCAGTGGCGTAATGAGCAAAAACGTTGGGGGGGGGGCTGGAGAAGCAGAACAAAAATCCACATCACCACCATTCTTACATGTTACACAGGCTCTGGCAACGTTTTTTCAAAGTGGGGAGGGGGAACAGGTAGAGCAAAGCGAGTGAAGCAAGTGGAGCGTAAATTGGCGTGGGATCCAGGGGCAAAGCCCCGGCGGGGGGGGGGGGTCAAGGGGCAGAGCCCCATAAAACTCATTGGTTTTAGGCATTTAATTAAGGTTAGTTGAGCATCAAGGGGGCGGAGCCCCCGGAAGCTCAGGGGTTTTGGGCATTTAATTACGGTCAGATGAGCATATTTTGATACCTTATTTGTGACTTGCACTGACATGCAGGTCACTAATTGGAGTGGGGTCCAGGGGGCGGAGCCCTCAGAAGCTCAGGGGTTTTAGGCATTGACTTACGATCAGAACTGATGAACATCCAGGTGCCGCCTTAGGGCCCTTTATGGGGTCCAGAGGCAGAGCCCCGAAGCTCAGGCATTTTAGGCATGTAATTACGGTCAGATGAGCTACCAGGGGCTCGCCTTAGGGCATTTGTTGGGGTCCAGGAGGCAGAGCCCCCAGAAGCTCAGTGAAAAATACCATATCAGCAACATCTGTAAATCACTGGTATCGAATTAGAAATGAACCACGTTTTAATTGTATTTTTTGGAGGGGGAACTTCCCCCAAGTTCCCCCCCCCCAAAAAAAAATAAAAAAATACGCAAGTGCGAGGGAGCATAGTGAATGAGAGGGGTAAAGGCGACGGAAGTGATTTACCCCCACACAGGTTTTGAAGTTTTGGTTGTATTAAATAATTACATTCCTTAGCAAAACTATAGTATAAAAACAAGCAATATACTTTTTCACACTTCACTTTTCTCGGTATATACTTGTACATTTTGAAGGATATTATGCGAGGGAGCGTAGCTGCCGAGTGAGAAAATGTTTGCATTTTTATTTGTCTAAACGCTGCACTCTTGGGCCCTCCAGAGCCTAAAAGTTTGTTGCAGGTTTTGGTCAGTATTTGCCATACATTTTTGGGGGCACTTTTTCAAATTTTGAGGGGGGACGACCCCCCTAAAAAAATTGAGGGGGAACGTGTCCCCCGTCCCTGCAACAGTGTGTCAAATACTTACCTGATTATGCTGGTGTACCCCAAGGAACTAAATTGGGCCCAATCCTCTTACTAGTGATGATCAACGATGCTTGTGAAAACATACCAATCGATTGCTATAAGTACGTATAGATGATCTTACTTTGTTGGAATGTCGAAAAGTAACCGATCCCTCTAACTTACCAGCTGTCCTCTACAGTTTGGGTCAGTGGTCCTGTCAAAATCACATAAAGTTAAATCCTTCAAAATGCTTTCACTTAGTGTGACATTCTCCAAAAATCCCACTGCCGAGCCAACTTTATATATTGATAACTCACTCAAGCAAAACTTCCATTCTGTCAAAATTCTTGGTGTCATTGTGCAATCCAATCTGAAATGGGATCTCCATGTCACTGAAATCCTCAAAAAATGTAACAGAAA